TTCAAGCATGCCATTCATTTATTTCTACCTCTGTGTCTGTGTCTGAGTCTATTTTCCCCATCTGACTTTATTGTACCTCAGTTACTTTTCCTGGCTTACTTGGAAAGGATTTCAAAGTGTTACACCGAAGTCTATTAAGTATTATTAGCCGCATTTATTCTATTCCTGTGAATGAGTTAACCGTGAAACTTTCGGATTGCCATACAACTTCCTGTGTAAAATTTGCTGAGAGGATTCTCACCCATTATAAACAGAACTGACATTATCGTTCTAATTATTCAACAGGCTCTCAGTTCCTCCAAAGGTCATCTATGCCCTGGCTTGCACATTTAGCGACAAACAAAGAATAACAAATGAACTTCGTCTTAACCTTGAACTATGAAATATACCTATGCTGTCTGTAAACACTTTTCCGTTGAATATATGTTCTCTCTGACGGTTTGCATGTATAGTTTTGATACTGAACTGCAAGCTTCAGTGCTTGCAAAATATACACAATACTATACCATATTTGTCAGCAACAATTCTCCTGTTTGTTCGGTTCCATACCCTTTTTTTATCATAATATTCTCATATAATTCAGATAATCAAATAATATCAGGTGATCCGATTCGCGGTTTGGTATTTTTCTACAAATTCACGCTTTTTAATTTTTTTATCACACACCTAAGTCTGATGAATGGCAGACGGGGCAAACCACATGGTCACGAGGACCTGCTGTTCAGTGGTGGAAACCGGCAAACTAAGCCACGAGACTTGAACTGGAGAACCACATAAAGCCCTGATAGGTTAGGCTTGGCTTTGAATCGGACGGTAGCCAAGGTGCCTTCCACCAAACTCGAGTGGCGGTGGCGGGGCTCGAACCTCAGACCATAGGGTCTGTTGATATAGTTCATAGTAAAATGCCCAATGAATTAAAGTCACACTTTTTATGGTATCATAAAGCTCCCAGTTAAGAAAAAAATGACATCTATCCAATATGAGTCATTCTGGTTTTCAATACAGTTCCTTTATCGAATTCTAAACCTGCATTCCTGTAACCAACTCCAGCCGTAACAGAATAACTGAATTTTAATCTGATAAAATGATACATCCCAATTCGCTCCCTTGCATGTATGTATGTTCTGCTTAAAACACATCACTAGTTCCAATTGCTTTTTTTCTTCGATAGTTTGAAATAGAGCGCAATAATTTCTTGCTCTATCATTTGCGCACTCCGTCATTCCGAGTAATTCGGATCTAAAAATTCATAGATAACGTGACACTGTATCGTCCCCATTTTCAACCCACTCAGAGTTCCACAGATAATTGTAAAAAAGCATACATTCTCATGTTTGTAGTGTCCTGATTTAAACCGAAAAATAATCAATTGAAGAGCCTTTTAAATATTTAGACCCAAGAATCTCATCTTGACCTATTCGAATGCGGATGTGGACGATTCAAAGCGAAGTAATGTCACGCAATATCCCGTAGTTTCAAGCTCTCAGAATCATTAATATTGTCGTGGTCTGTAAACATTTGCTACTGAAGTTTTTCTTCACCGGTTATTCTGTTGCATTGTCACGTTGTTTTCGATAGCGGACTGCTAAAATTTGTCAGATAATAACTCGCTCTGTTTGTTCAAGGTGATTATTAAATTGATCGATTGAAATTAAAGAGCTAAACTGCATGCAGCTGTATTTCTGATAAAAATTCAAAGAACTGTTGTTCTTCTGATTTGTTCAGGGACTTTGAGTGCTGACCTATATCACCTCCCGCATTCGAACATTTGTGATCATTCCCGTACTCCGTATCTTGTCCAAGTCCTCATAGACAGATGCAGGGAAAAGCACCCTGTGTCTAGTGCATTTTTGAGCACTAGTTTCCCTTCTTTGTTGAATTCATTTCTGGTTTCCAAAATTTTTCCGCTAACACATCCTGTTTTGAGGTCAGACAATTCCTGTTCGCGTGCATGTAGATCTTCTGGGCTCCCGGAGAATTTTGTCGAAATAGTACAATTTTATGGAGCCACAAGTTGGAACACTCACAGATAGATAAAAAACGAGTACACTCCTGTACAATCAAGCTTCCGGAAAGGGCTGCGGCTGCCTGCAGGAATGCACAAATGAGGAAGGTGGGCAGCTATGGCAGGATTCGAACTCAGAACCCCTAGACAACTACGTTGATGACCTTAGCCACTTGACCACCGTCACGCATAGCGATTCAGTCAATTGTTTCGTTCGTTGAAGTGTTTAGTGCACATTGCTTCTTCATAGAATAGTGCTCCCAAACCTCACCGAAATTCACGCTGATTTTCTTGCATGTAATCGGATCGGATAACTATAGTGAATGCCAACCCGTACCCGAGTACCATGATGCATCCTGTTCTGTCGACCACAACTTCATCTGTGCTTTCTTCGAATGCCCACATACTAGGACATCTATAAGAACCCGCACTGACCAACCTCAGAACACAAATACGAAAGAAAGAAAGTGCCGAATTAGTTTATTTCGGTATCCATCGGTAAGTATTGTTTTTAAAAGAAAAACAGTACGCTTAAACTAAACGGGCCTCTCCAAAATTAATTCTTTGAACAGAAATTAACGAGCAATTTCACCGTGGACACCGACTTTCATTGTTCTGACGTTACCCGTTCCGATCCACCATCTACTGTTTTAAATGGCGACGTCTATTCCATGTAATCTGCATTATTCATGTTCAAATAATTTTACATCATTGTTAATATATTTTTATGGTATGGAATAGGGATTTCTCCAAGACAGAGTGAATATCTGGCCGTTTTGCTTTATTTTTCTTTCCTTGAGGACATCGAAACCATGTCAGATGGTTCGAATATGTATGCCCTAACGGCAATGACAAATCTCTGTAACAAATCAGGCAGTTCTATCCATGTGATACGTCGTTTGTGATTTTTCTTATTTGTGGTTAGGAAAGGTTGGGTAGGGAGAATGTATTCACAACACCGTTGGGAAAACGACTAGGGTGTTGACGTGTCATCACGTGTTTGGGTTGCGGATCACGTCTGTCTCAGAGGTATGCGTCATGTTCTGGCCAAGGCAGTCTGAGTGATTGTGCGAATCGCTTTTGAGAACAAAGCGATGGGTTTAGTAATCGAATGGCCACGGCTTCGGTTATTGTGAGATGACGTTGACGAACGGCTTCGGTTCGGTGGTAACCTGTGGATGATTTGAAACGCATCATCGTCAACTTGATGCCCGGTATTCGCTAGATGGGCTACGATCGCACTTCAACTCGTTTTCCTTGTACCTGTACGCAGCCAAGCCGGCTTATGTTCCTTGATTCTTTGGGACAATTGCCTGGTCGTTCTGCCTACATATCTTGCCGAACATGAGCAGAGAAAAGAATAGTGATCATGGGTGAGGCATGGACAGGCGATTTATCTTTAAGGCTCACGGATATCACGGATATCCAATCATTTCGATTGGTCAGCCAGTGGTTATTTGTTTGTGAGTTTATTGATAACATCTAAGGATAGAATCAGGAACAATTTTAAAGATACGCCTAATACCAATCAAACTCAAGTCTGAACTGCATGATAAGTGAGAAATATCATTAGAAATCATCAAGTTATACGCTCAACCTGTTTTCGGTCTAACTTGGAGACAAAAATCCTGGCCCCGGAATTGAAGATTCGAGATTCGAATTTCTGAATAGGGAGGCACTGAGGTATAGTTATCACGGTCATCAGTAACAAACGTGGTCTTTTATATTCGTCTGTGAGGCATGNGGCATGAGGCATCGTTTTTTTCGATAGAACAACTTTGGTAATGCTAGTTAAATTTCGTATTCTCATCAGTGTAAAAAGAGGTGACTAACAAATGAAAGCGCCAATACCCATGCGTTTGACCACACTGTAACAGTGTACACCGCTTTTCATCACCATTTGTTGCACCTGGAGAAATAAGTCAGGACGAAGGGATATGCTATCAATCAGGAAACTTGTGTAGATGGATGACGGTAGAATCATCAGTGAGGTTACGTGGATCGGGGTTTCCGTCGAGGGCGCAGTTCGAATTCGCATCTCGCTCGGGGTGTCAAGGCAGTGCGGTGCATACCTAATTCTACTCCGTTTTCGGTCATCTAAAATTTTTCATCTGCTGGTTCTATCGGAGCTTAATCCGGCGATCAGTATGTCGTGCAGCTTTGAACTTACTGTGAATAAGCTTTTGTTTCAGATAATGTCGGAGGTAAAGATCAATAAACAGACCCCCGTGACAGTGAATGGAACTGATGGAACTGGAAAACAATGGGCAATTAATTTGAGCAGCTATGCGCTCGATGTGTCAGTCATTGATTGATTGTGTGGTTCAGGGATTTTGGCTTCTAGTTCAAAGTTTCACGGCTCTCGATCACAACAGTAGATCGTAGATATTACTGAAGATGATTAACAGGGATGAACGAGCT